CCTTAACATCGGCCATCAAGCCATCCAAATCGTCATAACTTCTACTCCCTAGCCATTTTTTCAGCGAACGGTTGACGAGATAATCCCTAGAAGTTTCTGCTAGTAATATGGCAGATTTAGGAGCAGATCCCATTCTTGGTTGGCTTTGGCTTTTTGTTCCATCGCCGAAAAGTTACTGGGATCGCGGAATGACACTGCCACGTTCCAACCTTTCTCGAAGTAGTAGAGCCTAATTTTGCGAATAGCGAATGGTTTCCTAAGTACATTTTTGTAGAGGAAATCAAGCAGATGATTTCTGAAAAAAAGCGCGAACTCAACAGTCAAATTTTATCGAGAGTAAAAAAGCCGCGAAAAAATCCGCAATAATTATGCATCAACCTAATATATTTAAACATCGTAAGCCGGGAGATGACCGATTAGAAACCAGAACTAGTCATAAAACTAACACTAACTTGCTCATCGATGTTTCCTGATCAGCTGCAGCCCAATCTTCGCCCATTAGTTTATGGCAGCAGATATTCTATTCATTCTTTTCCACGTATCAGGTAGCATAGATCTTTCTCAAGGTTTCCTGTCGTTGTTACCATATCTCATTGCTGCAGTATCACCTTTCCGTAGAGCAAGCAGAGTACACAGAGATTGTACATGATGCTTTGCTTCTGCATTTTGTATTTGTAATTGTACGAAGTTGTCTTATGATCAAATAGATTTTTTTTTGCATATCGAAATTCTCCGTCCTATTGCAGCTAGTTCCACTTCGTAATGAAGGGCCGCTATATTGCCAGCAGGTCCTCGTACAAACGAAAGCAGAGGCGGACGTCCGGCGTGAAATTCGCAAAGAGCAAAAACGAGCGAAAAAAGAGTTGAATCGGTGAGTGCTCTTCAATCTTTCTATTTGTGATATAATGTTGTATCCGAATGAACAGGATTTTAGCATTCATCATGCGTTCGGCGACGAGGAAAAGTTGGAGCTGGAACTCGCGCAGCGTGAGATTTTGCGGATGCGGTAGGTGCTTCGTATTTAATGATTCAGGTCTGTTTTTGGGAGCTCGTAATTATTGTGTCTGTCTGTCTTTCATACTTCCGTACTGGCAAGAGAAAATTACCATGCCCGCGAGAATCCACAATCTCTATGACTGCCAGCTGATGGCGTTAATATTCAATCTTTCTAATTATACGCTGTACTCGATCAAAATTGAAGTGACGGTCTTAGTCATATGAAATGAGACCTACACTGCTAGCCGAAGTTTTTCATGCTGATTTCGAATCTGCATTCAAAATCTGCCAAACGATTCTCTGAACGAAGTTATGGAGTGGTCTTCGGAGAGCGCACAACAGGGGCAAGCACAAAAGACGTGGTCGCCGGCATACGTGCAATGGCTGCTAGGATTAGGAAAAAAAGCGTACCGCTTCATAGTTATGGGACCAAGGATTGGGTTCAACGGGTGACCGCGTTTTTCCATTTTGATGGCTTTTTCCTTCAGGATGTAAAAATCTTCTATATTAGTTTTGCCGCCTACGGCGACTTTTTGTTTGCTCGAGATGTCCAAACCGTCTTCCTCTACGCAATGACATCGATCAGTTTTTGAAGAGGGAGGTGAGGGTAGTGGTCGGTTTTCAAAATAGGTAAGGGATCCACATGGCAAATGCGGCAAAGTTGGTAGTGTCGCACTTCTCGGAGAACTTCGGTTACTGTGATGCCCTATCTTGCGAGATGCAACTTACGACGACCTCGATATTGAGTGCGAAAAAGACTACGAGATAGAGGACGAAGAGGCCGATTCACTTTGGAGACCCAGTGATGAAGAGGAAAGAGCAAGCACATCTAGAGGGTCTTTGATATTTGGTTATGTGGAAGTGTCCAGAGAGCAGGTATAGGATCTTTTCCCAGTACATTCATTAGAGCGAGACAACCAAACAAATCCAGATGGAAAGCGCTATCAGATTCTATCGGTCAGGCGCAAAAGGAAGCCGTTCGCTGTCGTGCATGAGCTCCTATTTCCGCTGCGTTCGTAGCATATCTAGAGTAATATCTATTGAGGTTGTGTCAAATTGAAAGTGAAAGCTGGTTATAGCAGCGAAATGTCTTCTCGTTTTGGTTATGTCAAGTTTGGCAAGTTATGTCCTTATCGAGTAGGTGAGATTTGCTAGTGTCGTTTGGCTGCTCTACAAACGCTGGCGGACGTCTTGATAGAGGAATTTACGTTGAAGCTTGACCGGATTGGCACTGCATGACTGCGATTTACGCCAAATGACTTTGAGAATCAATAGGGGAAGATCGTTAGTCGCGAATTTCAAAGCAGTACACCGGTGGATCCAAGAGTTCAGAAGAATATGCGGGTTGGTCTCGAGGCGTGTCACCATCTTCTGCTCCAGGGAGAGCTTTTTAGGCAGATATCATGTTTCCGCAGATGCTCGGAACTTCGTGAGCGAAGTTAAAAAAGATATGAACCAGAACATTGGGACACTATTTTGAACTTTTTTTTCTACAGGGTGGGCCAAAACTATGATTACAGCGCGCGCTGGCGCTCATAACGATTTCTTTTCTGAGGTCATAGCAATTCGTTCGTTTTCTTCTACTTCACAAGGTAGATTACATTATTACCTTCCTGATGATTCTAAACTTTTGGTAGATTTTGAAAATAATGTAAGCGTAATTACCCCGTGAATAAATCGTGTCTTTGCACGTACAAACACTCTTGGCACTGTGCGCGGACGACTCAGCGTAAGAAGGCAGGGGTACATTCGATTATGAGACGCTTCCGAGAGTTGGGAGCAATTGCAGATAGGATTGGTAATCTTAGGAGGCCTGCGGTTATATTTAGTGGGAGTTTTAATGAAGCAGGGCAGGTCTGCGTAGCAGCGAAGTTCATTCTGAGCCCAAAATGACTAAATGAATGGTTACCTCATGAAGTTTTCTGCGCGAAGTCGTGAAGCATCATCTGCACGACAAGGCCTTTATACGATCAGAAAGTGATTCCCCCAGTTGGCAGACTAAAAAGAAGAGAAATGTCGGCTCACCAAAGCTGCCCCACCGCATACAAAAAATTGTACGGGATCCTGTTCGCCGGCGGAAAGATGTCCGCACTGAAAAAGGTGCCCAATAAGCAGGGCTACAGAAGTTGTACAAAGCTGAAAGAAATGGAAGTGATGCAGTGCTAGGCTTGCCCACTTTCTGCGATATCCTTTGCGAGCGTCACCGCCGAGGCAAAAGCACCGATTGTTTTTGTAAAATAAGGAGTGAAAGTAGATTTGGAGACCTGTTCGATTTTTTCGTTCGCAATAGGACACTTTGGCAATTCAAACCGGACATATNTAGAAATTCCGTGAAGGGGGTTCCCTGAATTCATAACCTTCGATCAGTGGCAACTCTGGAGCTCTGGCCTAAATCCCATGGATGTCTCAGTGTGGTCAGCCTTTGACATGAGAGCATCCATTAGCCCAAACAAGAAGTGAAATAATCTCGAAAATGCTTTGCAAAAAGCTGGGACCAACTCGATGACCTTAGCTGCGTGCCACCGCTAATGTTGACCATCATCGTCTCTGGAGCTGGGTGAAAGCAGAAAGCAACAGATCCCAGTCTCACTGTACTATTTTGATCAGAAATTAGTGATAGACTTTTTATGGGATTGGTTTGCTTTTTTAGTCTTCTATTCATTTTCGGGTATGTGATGTCTGTGTAATCATATTCTTGGCCCGCCCTGTAGTTTTGATGATACGTAGTCACTTTAACACGGTCATATTCTAGAAATGGAGAACTGGCCATTAAATGTAGTGTGCAACGCTAATCTGAGCGGGTTTTTTAAAGAAATGCACACTTTACGATTGTTGGCTTCGAGAGGCTTAAAGAAAGTAGAACGGGTCGTCCAGTCGGTTTCCGCTACCACTCACTCTTTCACAGTCACGGCTTGCCTCTCCGCCGATGTCCACTTAGGTCGCAAGCTGTTAGTGGTGATTCAGGTCTGATAAAAGTTTCCGCATTACCCCTCGATTCTCTCCCTAGGTTCGATAGGAACCTACTTTCCAAGAGAGGGAGTCTTTCATGCTCAGAATTTGGGAATTCGGGCGAGCAAAATGCACATGATGAGCAAGCAATGGGAGTTGGAGTGGGTTCGATCATGCGTAGCTGCTCCGGACTCACCAACATAAATGTTGCTGGTGGCGGATTCTTGGACATCTTTCAAAGATCCTGTAACTGTTCAGTCGGCACTACCTTCACCTTCTTAGACTAGTTACTAGTTGGAGGTGGTAAACATCCCAGTGGTACTACTTAATACAGCCGTTGGACGTTTATTTTTCCCTGCCATTTAAGAATATGCTCAAACGTATTACCTCAAACGTAATAGCTCATGATCTCAAGTTTTGCATGTATACTCGCGACTCCATTCTCCGATTACTTTAACTTGACCTACTTTCTATTTTGTGTTCCTACATGAGGAGTTTCTTACTCATGGCATGCTGCTGGCTTTCATTGTGAAAGCTTTCATTAAGAAAGCTTCTTTGTTTCAAACATTTCGTGCTAGATTATCACACTTGCTTATAGTGAGTGAAAGTGATCCTAATGTGAATTTGAAATGTATAAGAGTAAAATTGTTGTCGTGTTGGTGATCAGAGTAGATGCCAGATTGTCTAAGCAAGGACTGTCTCACCTCCAGCAACTAAAAAGTCGCTGAAGGCAGTAGGACTATCATAGAAGGTTTTAGCAACCTGGAGGGAAAAGTCCTGGAAAGCAAAAACGCCATCGCCCACCAAACCCGATCCTTCCATGATTTTGAAGCGTCACGCTTGCCTCTACCCCAAGCCACCACCTCGGTTCGGGTGCGCTTCGTTGCGCGTGTCCGTCGAAACTAGGTCACGCACTGCGAGTCAGCCCGCGATGCTTGACAGACGTCGCGGTTGTCAGTGGGGCATATGTTTTGCGCTTGGTCTACGGCAGTCAGTTCAAAGAGAAGACAACACAGACAAATGCAAACCCAACCTCCACTGACACTTGAAGGTACTGTAATCTTGTCATCTCGAGACCTCAGTGTGGTGCGCCACGCGCGGAGTGGACGGGGTGACCTACTTTTGACGGACGCGCACAACTGACGTCCTCCCTTCGGGTCTGCCGGCGACCATCTGCCGGCGTCTTTTGTGCTTGCCAATGTTGAGCGCTCTCTGGGGACCGCCTCCATAACTTCGTTCAGAGAATTGTTCGGCAGATTTTGAATGCAGAGTCGGGATCAGAATTAAAGCACAATCAGCACATAAGGTGCGAATAAGTGCAGACGTCAACAACTTTAGTTCTAGCAAGATCTGCTACCGCAAGAAACACCTTGCTCTATCTGTGGATATCGCAGCTTTGCAGTCAAATAGCGTTGGGTAGGGTGAAGTATACTCTAAACTAGCATATCCGAATTTCGCGCGATTTGGTCTACTAAGAAAAAAGTTATGAACCAAATAGCGTCAAAGCATTTCACCGAAGACTTTTGAGCGCTTCTGTAGAGCGCATTGCCATGCAGAGTGATATAACGCTCTATGCAAGTCGGAGTGTTATATATTACCTCATCGGTTACCGCAGTTATAGCTATATATTACCTCATCGGTTACCGCAAGTATTGACAAAAAAGCAGAAAAATTATGTGAAACACATGTATTGTTCACAAACTACGCACCTTATAGATGCTGCTTCACTTAAACCGGAGACAAAACAGTAAACTGACTCAAGATTAAACAAATACTGAAGTTACATCAGTTTTTCAATAACATACCCAGAACTGTACCGAGAGTTCCAAAAATTTGTTGTTTTCATTCTAAGTTCTATGGTTAGTATAATAAAGTGCTCCCACCCCTGACAAGGCGACTATGTACTCGTCTAAAATCTTTCGTCAATCGTTCTCGTTTCTAGAATACGTGGAGCTTCAATTTCGACCCAGCATCTACTAAGCATTGAAATGGTTTCTGAGTGCGCATGTGGCCAATACAATGACTCTATGGAGGAAGTATCACTTCGCTGCCTGCGCAATTTCTCAGATATATCCATCTGATGGGAAGGTGGGGCTTTTTCGGCCCTACGTTATTCAGCAGTCGACTATTGTAGGTGCAGCGCAAGTCACTATGTCGCAAGCTCTTGATAATGTTCGAAGGTGGACTTGCGCTAACTTTCCTATTGCGGGCAGATCCTTTGTCGGAAGCCATTCACTTTCAAAACTTTGTTTTTCAAGATGCGTTGTATAATTGAATAAGTACTGTTTCTTTCCTATCGAGTTTGATCCCGAGATCTCTGCCACAGCACGGACCTGGCGCCTTTCTGGGGCTTTGCACTATTCTCTTGAATTTTTTTGAAGAAAAAAGGGAACTTCATTTTGAGGATTCATAGCGCCACCACATCAGTGTGAACCCTCTAAGTTTCCACGTGAGCATACATCGAACTGCTTTCTTGGATTCCTTCAACGGTGTGCGGAGTATTGGTTTTTTTAAGCTTAGTTCCACCAACGAAATTGACCTTCTCTTCATCCGAATCGAAGCACGCAAGCACTTTTGAGACATTTCTTGAGTAATTGAAAATTGATAATTGAATTTAAATGGAATTTGAATGGAATTTAAAATTTTGGTCTATCGCGCCGTCGAGTTTTTCCTTTCAATTCGCAGTATTTATACTTCTTGGGTATGCTAGGAGCCTGAAATATTCTCCACTACATGTACTCGTACTTGTACTCGTGCGTCCAGTCCTGTAGTTACAGATTTCATTTGATGCAGCTTTCGAGGCCAGAGGCATTTCTGATAACTTCCTTTTTTGCAAGTTCAAATACAGTGTCATACATAGCGGTATCTGTGGTCTAGACTGCAACGACGTTCTTGGAATTCCAAAACAATCGACTTTCTCCCGATGGAGCAACTATATCGGGCAAGGTGCAGTTGTATCTGTGTATCGACTTGTTCGTAAAAATCACTTTTATACAATATTGAGAGGAAGTGAACAAAGGTGAGAAGGATTCCTTAAGATCACTAAATAGCAATTTCAGTAGAGGTAGTCTTTCGCCTTTTAATTCACTTGCTCACATTTACTTCCAATTCGGACACTGCTACTACTCAGATTGAAGCTGGTTGTTCAGATTGACTCTGAGAGACGTTCTTGCAAGTTACATATCGACGGACAGCTAATCGGCCGCATCTTTTGGAATAGAAATAGCCGTAATGAGCCAACGAAAAAAGCTGTGACCTTAACCGATTCAGTTGCTTGCCTTACAAAGATCTATGTGAGGTCAGCGTTTGGCTTTCTCCAATGAAAGAAAAGTAACATACTTGAAGGACGATGCTAGCTGATCATCCAACAGTTCGATCGGTGCTGTGGATTAGCAACTTGGATTGCAATCTTGACTTCCAGGGTTGTCCTTTTGCACTGTTGTGATGCCCAAAGACTCCGAAAAAAGGAGTAGATAATCTGACATCTTATAGATATGAGCTGTTCTAGAAATGCTACCATTGATACTGTAATAGTCTTCCGATAGTGAAATACAATCTCAAAAGTATCCTATTACCTTGTGCGACTAACTTTGATTGTCGACGCCGATAGAATGACTCCAACAGGACATCGTAATTCATTAAACTTTCATAACTTCTTCTTTGAGGAAACGTTCCCGGTTGGAGAAACGTTTCTGGTCAGTTCAAATCATACTGACTCAATTCCAACCGTCCTCACTATTGATAAATACAAATATTGACATGGCGTCCAAACCTCGTCATGTAGCTCATTTGTCCATAACAGTGAAATTTCAGTTTGATCCAGCGACATATTCGCATGGTGTCCCACCTAATATCGAAAGCGTTACAAATCATGATGAACTTATTCATATGGCATTTTCAACCAAAAGCTTTTCATGACCACATGATAATCTCTTCGTGTGATTAGCAGAAATTTTATTTAGCCGAGCAGCGTTCATGTAACGGCTTGGGGGCAGAGATAATGATTTTTTTTTTGAAACAGGGCAAAGGTCATCTTGAATCTTAACATGGCGCATTTTATTTTATTGTAAGTAACCAACTGGGATAATAACCACTTCCTCAAGACTCGGTGATTCTCAGCTCCTTATGAGATCATAAGAAGCTGAGAATCGTAAGAATAGAATGATAATAATGAGAAGAATCGTTTCTTATCGTCGGATTCTACAGGGTGTGCCGAAATTATGATTACACAGACATCGTTAAAGCTAACTAATTTCAGTAAAAATGTTTTTCACCAATCTCTTATCGAAATGGTACATAGAATCTAGGATCTGTTGTTTTCTGCTTTCACCGAATTCCAGAGACGATAATGGACAACATTAGCGGTGCACACAGCTAAGGTCATCGAGTTGGTCCCAGCTTTTTGCAAGGCATTTTCGAGATTTCTTCACTTGTTGTTTAGGCTAACGGATGCGTTCATCTCAAAGGCTGACCACACTGAGTCCATGGAATTTAGGCCAGGGCTTCAGAGTGGTTACTGATTGAAGGTTATAAAGTGAGAGAGCCCTTTTTACGGAATTTCTAGACAATTTCTGATCTGCGGTCGGGAGTTTTATCTTGACAATATGTCCGGTTTGAATCGTCAAAGTGTCCTATTGCGCACGACGAGATCGATCAGGGTTTCTAATAACTTTTACCCCTTAATTTCCAAAAATGATCTGTGTTTTTGCTTCGGCGGTGCGCTCCAAAGGCCATCGCAGAAAGTCAGTGAGAATAGCGCTGCAATACTTCCAACTCTTTCAGCTTCTTACAAATCTTGTCGCCCTGCTTGTTGAACACCTTTTTCACCGAGACTATCCTTTCGTCGGTGAACAGGAAGTTCCTACGACAACTTTTTCGGATGCGGCGGGCAGCTTTTGTGAGCCAACCTTTCTATTCTCTTTAGTCTGCTTACTGGGAAATCACTTTCTGATCGTATGAAGGCCTTGTTGTGCAGATGATACTTCACGATTTCGCGCAGAAAACTTCACGAGATATCCAATCATTTAGCAATTTTGGGCTCTGAGTGTATGGCTCTGTTTCACTTCATGTTCGAAAAACATTCAACAAAATGATGCCAGGGATGCATAAGGTGCATATGGGGAACTCAACATTGAGGAAAACACCTGAAAAAAATGTGTAAAGCACACACGTTTTTAACGAACTGCACACTCTATACATTCTGCTTCTCTTCAACCGGAGGCAAAACATTTATTTATTTTTTAAAACATTTATTTGTCTCAAAATCGAACAATTACTGGTCACGAGAGCCTGGATTTCCGCCAATCTACCCCGCTTGTACCAAATCCATTTCAGAAAATTTTAAGAAAATTTTGAAGCCTCAAATTCGGTCATCAGAGCGGGCCTGACACACATTATGATAAAGGAGCTCATGTTCGATTGGATTTAGACTTGCCTTTTTGAGAGTAGGATGCTCACTGGGCAATGCATCATATTGTAGACTCGTGGTCGCCATTCCACGACTCTGACACCACCAAGCTGGCTGTGCCCGAAGATGTGTAGCGCGATTTATCATTGTATATGTGGAGGACGCGGTTCACTCCATGACGAGCACTTCATTACACGATGCAAAGTTGAAGTCCACTATGTATATACCTGCCGGTGCTACGTCAATGATTTCTTTTTGGGAGTCTTCTTCTTCGGTTCTATGAAGAACGTTGTGAAGAGGATCAGATTAAAGGCACAGTCGCGATAAAAATGGCCATTTGAAAAGAGACCTACATTGCTGGCTGCGACGAGTTCGCATTTCCATTTGACACTACTGTCGAGCAGATTTCGAGCCCCAATAATTTTTTTAGGGTAGCCATTTTGCACTTTTGATTCTCATATTCATAAACGGCATTCGAAACTCGATTGATTAATACGGGTCTCCATTTCAAGTACCATGGAAGTAGACTACCCCTCCTGGGTCAGAAAAACAGCTATGGGCTTCAGCGCGCGCTGTAATCATAATTTTGGTCCACCCTGTATTCCCACCACTTAATTCTGAAAGTTTTCTGTTGGAAACCAGAACTTTTGCTGAATTTGCATAGGAATACTAATGGATCTGTCAATAATTGCTTGATTAGTTGTATATTCCATCTTTTAGAGTTTTTCATAATACGGTGTGTACCGAACAATGGGAGATTCGATTACAATTTTTGTTACCAAATTCTGTTCAGTCAAATCGAGCTGAATCAGCTGAAGTGGACTCCAACCATCACAAGCACAAACCGGCCGCGGGAAATATATCCATTTGTTTTCGATGCTTGTATCGATAGTGGATCGGCAATGATAACTATCAACGGCGTCAAGGTACTTTTTGTGGTCATTATCCGGCAGGGAGCTAGTTTTCAGTCGAGGCTCTGTTGTATGATGAGCAACTTGCAGTACGCCCTCCCCGAAGGCTCTACAAGGGAAAGCTTTCGTACACATGAAGAAGTTGAAGTACCGCCTATGAATAAAAGTACCTTAGGAGACGTTCATCATATTTTCGTTAAAGACATGGACGATGTTAGTTTTGCTGTTTACTTCAGGAACTTCGCTACAAACGTAAAATTATTTTGTTACAGCTGGGTCAGCTTGGTTTTCAAGGGTTTGAAAAGCTCAATGTTATCCAGTCCATTGTTTTCGAACAAGCTTACAAAACTAGAGAAAACCTCTTAATTTGTGCGCCAACAGGAGCTGGTGGGTTGTTTTCGATTTACTTTCTCCACTACTTTTAACCTTTTCCATGTTTCCTCGGCAAAACACGAAAAGGTGATTATGTACTTACAGATATTTAGTCGATAAGCACCTTTTAATGTTGCCAACTTATTTCCATGAACTGTTCATGGTACAGCTCTGTTGTTGCTCTTTTAACGAATTAACACTTGTCTCGAATATTACTGGAAGGCAGCGTATTCAATGACTTCGTTTCAATCTATAGGGAAAGTATTCGGTCAAGAGCTGTTTCAATCTGTGTCAGAGTAATTGTATGGAGAAGTTGCTTGGGAATGAGTTCAGTAGATTAACCGAACGTTTAAATGTCTTTATTCTGAATGTGCACAACCATTTTCATAAATCCCTAGCGTAATGATGTAAATGATTGGTTGGAAAATAGCGATAGAAACCACGTCGATGTTCACTGGATTCAATGTGATATTCGTAAGCAAAAACCCATCGAAAACCGCTGCTACATTTTACTTTTTCGTAGTTTCTCCAATAGTTGCGCTTTATTGATATAAGAGGAAAATGGGATGTACAGCAATTTACTTTTGCAGAAAAAACCAACAACCTTATCTTAACGTGGGAAGCGCCACAATGTCCTCTATTCTGGACCTTCACTGATATTGCTGGTTGCTTCCGATTCAATGCTGCAAATTTTATCTTTTTTATTTTAAAGGCGAACTCCACTTCAGAGGAGTAACAATAATCTCACCTGATACTTGCGTCTTTTATTATCCATTACCTCTGCAACAGCAGCCTTTAATGGTGTAGGTGGTCATTTCATGCGTTCATCATATTTCTTGCTCGAAGGTTTTCAAAGCACACGATACTTGAGTCAAAAAGGATGTTACGAACGTTCCTTCTGTAGTCGCCGTCATGTGGCAACATATGGCAGTAATGGTCCTCAATGAATAAAAAACTTCCCGCTCTCAAGTGATCCGATCTCATTACAACTACATAAATTCATAAACTTTTTCAGCTGTTAGGTAATCACTTACGAAGATCAAGAAACATCAGGGCAGGTTCCATCATGTTTTATTTAGGCAAAACGAACATTGCGATGCTGTGTATTCTCAACACTATTCACGAACATCGAATGTTAAGCGGTGAAATCGCCAAGGACGAGTTTAAGGTTTCTTTCATTTTTCTCATAATCGATCAGTATTAGAAAACAGCTGTAATCAAAAGAACAAAAGTTAAAAAATTAGTCCCAGGAAGCATCCAGATCTTACATCGCTAGCTCTCAAATCTCTTTATAGGAGTGTAGTGCAACTGTATCGGTCAAGGTTGGCCTCTTCGGTGAGAACTCTGGTTAGATACACATACAAAAAGGAAAGGTCTTCACTTCGAACTTCCTTTTCAGTGTGCTTCTGAAATGCAATCGCTAGAAAGAGTTACCTTCTGTTGTCTCATCTGGGTTGTTTCCATTAACTAATTTTCATTTTACTTTNTTTACTTTCTCGCGTAGAAACTATTCATTCAAATAGTACCGTGGGGATACATCTGTCCTTATCGTCATCTATGGACAGCAATATGGGGTGTCACAATTGTTAGCCGTATACTTTATCGTTTTGTATTAAAGTAGCTCTAATGAATGGCGCAGTAAAGTCCACACTCAACTGCCCATTTCTCCTTTAAAAATTTCTGACATAATGTAACCGTTTTTTATGAGGAAGCTAGGCCTTTCCACAGTTTTGGTGTCAGTTCGTTTAAAGGAGGTATCCCAAATCAAAGTGATCGTTTGTGACGGCCCTTATGCCACACTCGTGTGCTTACGTGATGATCCCAGTTTCACTTTAAAGTTTGCAAACGAATCTGAGTTATCGCTGTGCCTTTCTTTGTCCTTATGCAGAGTGGAGTGCTTAAAATTCACTCTTCGTGAAGTTACTAGAGTAATTTTGCATGGTTGATGGAAAGGGTTCCAGGCTGCTGTTGCTTTATTCTCTAGCTTTCGCAACTCATCATTTGAAAGTGGCCTGGCTTTGCCGATTCGCAATTGCTCAACGGCTGCCTAGTTGTTCATGGTTGAGGTTGCTCTGTTTTTTATAGGGTTCGGTCAACAGTGTGCTATTCACACTTCTTCCTAGAGAATACTTGTTCGGAATCCGAGTCATCTCAACAAGTCGACGTATAACAGGCTAGGCACGGAAATGCCAAATGAAGCATTCAGTGCAGGTTAAGATGCAGCCCTATTGCGTCTCGTTATTTCGGACAGCTTCCAATTGTACTTGTTTTGAAAACTCATGTTATCGTTTCAATTCCTAGGCGTGCCCTTTTATTTAGGTTGTTTACTTTCACAAAAATTCTGCTTAATTGAACGGAATCTATCTTGGAACAGCCAGTAAAGAAGACCTAGATTAGGAAAAGCTTCTCTTAGATGGGCAACTCCCAAAGGTATCGCTTTCCTCTAGCCCTTCTTTTCGTTGATTACAAGAAGGCATTCGACCCTATGAAGGTCAGCGCTGTTCTAAATGCAATGGTGCAAGTCTGGCCCGGTTCCGCTCAAGTTCAACTGCTCGAACTGGCGAGCTGAGCGAACTTAGCTCGAGGTGAACATGATGAACAATACTGTTCGAAGTAAAAACGCGCTGCTTTTGGTTCGGTCCGTCAATTGGCAGATTGGGTCAGCAATCCTAACCTCAAAGGGTTGATATTTAAGGCCTCAGTACTGCCAGCGGTGTGTTATGCGACTGAAGCGTGACCTGACAACAAAACAATCGCTCGAACCGTAGGAACTTCTTCACTTATAAGAAAACAGTTTTCTGCAGGTTACCCGGCGTCAACAGTGACAGGCAAGGCTTGCGAACTTGGGGCCTAAAAGAAGACCCGCTTCTATACACGGCATATTCGAAGCACAGCTGGGCATCTTCAAACAGGTCCCAGGTCACAGAGTGTCTTTCAAAAAAAAAAAAAAAAGAACGTCAGGACGTACAACTACGACTCGGTGGGTGATTCGTTCTCCCTTCATTCCAGAGAAAAGGATCTACACTGGATGTCGCCAAAGATCGTGGGTCCTAGCTAAGAAGACCTCTTGTCGATGGGCCGTCAAAGTAAAGTAGTGTAGTGCTTTGCAAACATCGTTGTGAATTTCAAGCTAAAAGGAAAAGCTACTCAAATATATGAAGTGTCGCCTTGATTTTGTTTCGTGGGCTGTGTGAGTTATACTTACCAGAAATCGTGATGACGACATCGAAATATGATCGAATCAGAACTGGGCTAAGTGTTACCTGGATCAGCAGGTTCAGCAGTGTCCGCGATGTCTGCCCACGACGTTTACAGACTACTGATCGATACCATTGTTTGACTGTAGACTCAAGGTGATTAACAACAGAGCAGCGAGCCAACTATTTTGTCTTCAACACTTTTGAAGTGGAGAACATTTGGTTTATTGTTGCACCTAAATATTTCTTTGTTAGGCTCCTTCCATAGTCCACGATTTGGCCCGCGACCGGTCGCGAGACCTGTCCCTCGACCAGTCGCGCGACCGGTTGCGGGCCGAACCGTGGACTATGAAAGCAGCCTTACGATCTGGCACTTCTGCCAGGCCAAGCACTTCTCTGGAGTTATCACTTTTTGCCAAGTTGCAAGCAAGCTTTTGATAAAAAATATCAAGATATGAAAGGCATCCTGGACAGTGTTAGACTTCAGTTCTGCAATGTCACCTTATAATCAAATTCCCTTCCATTCCTGTTTATCACAAAGGTTGAAGGAAGCACCTTCACTGTGCTCATGAAAAGGATCACTAATTGTGAGGGAAATATGAGATAAGCATTCAAGGACAGATGAATCTTACCAAAGTTAAAGCTTCATGTTGGGTCCATTTTGCTAGTGAGTGAGGCCGTTACCTATTTTATTCATTCATTTTCAGATCATCTATATTGCTCCAATGAAAGCTTTAGCTACTGAGATGACGTCAAGTTTCGGAAAGCGTCTGGCTCCTTTGGGTTTACAAGTTCGGGAGTTGACTGGAGATACAACGCTCTCTAAAAAAGAGGTGTCCGAGACTCAGGTAGAGTTTTAGTTATCTACTTCTAAACTTCCAAATGCCGAGCTAATGATATTATTTTGTTGGTGCATGTCTTGCGACACCTATGACATTTTTTCAAACCTTGTCACTGACACTGCGTAGACATCAAGATGCGAAATATCCGCTTCTGCTGTCTACCTCTTGTGCCCAGCGCTACGACAGCTGCTCATTATCCTTCTCCAGAATTCGCGCACCGGGTTGCGAAAACTAGAACACAGGACTTACGGGCAATAAGATTTTCCAGAGCGTTTTCTTTTTTTCGGTGATATTTTAGAGCCCCAAGAAGATGGTCATTAGGTGGTGCCAAGTCAGAGGAAGATGCAGGATGAACAAAGCCTCCTAGCCCAGCATATCATTTTTTTCCTGTGTGGACTTTGCAAAGTGCGGGTGAGAACAGCCGTATTGCGGGATGGTCTGCTGATTCGGGTCCTGCACACAGCCAGTGTTCTTTTCCTCCGTTATTCATAAAGTGTACTTTATCTCCAGCAATAGTCTGCATTAGAAAGGTTTCTTACACTGTGTATGGCAGAGCAAACACTGACAGACACCTACACTATGAATCCTAACCGACGCGTTTAGTAGTCAGGGCACCCGAATCGCTAAGACTTTCAGAAATGTGGTAAGGAACAGATGTCTATTGATCGCCGTACACTCTAAATGGTGCGAATAATTTTCGCAGAAATGTTCTTGCAACTTGTAAGATTTCTTCACTTGAGCGGTCGTAGTATGCCCAGTTTGTGGCTAATCATTAAGGCCCGTTCACTGATATGAAGCTTCTGAAACAGAGGTACACCGTAGAACGTTGTGCGGCATTGTCCCCGAATGCAAGGCAAAGAAGCAGTGAAAGCCTTGCTTGCAAAGTGTTGTAGGAAGTAATTGTTTTGACTTGATAATTTGTGAACTGCTGCTTTGACGCCGCTGCACGCGAAGCGAAAGTCTCACAAGGTTGGCTATTTGTGGGTAAAAGTAATTTCGGACGGGTCTCAAACCCGTACTTGCGCTTTCCAGGCACCGTGCTGTTATCTATTATACTACCGAGACCCCGCTTGCCCTCGCATTCTTAATGGCTTATATGTGCAAATGGTATTCAGTTAAACTCGGTGCTCAGTCTTTAAATGGAAGTCTCGAACTTTTGCTGTCTTTCTTAGACATAAATACCCAACAAAAATTTAACTGATAAACAATCAAAGATGATGCTGTGAGATGTTCTGAGTGATGATAGCACCGTTATCAGATGTTCTTTATCGATGGACCGTTTGTTCACGGAAGTATTATTAGTTGAGAATTCCAGATTACAGGCGGTCGATTAAGTTTTGTCGCAAGTGTTAGGTATCCACAGACTACTGAGATCACTGCATACTGATATGACT